TGGATGCTCTTCTTTGTCAACAAACATAGACTTAATATGAGGTCTGCTTCCTTCCTATTTTCTGACCTACATCAGAAGAGTACTGGAACTTGTAAACTACAGTATCAGGATGTTTCTTTACTGTCTGTTCCAAAGGTCAGAACTGAACAGGGAAAAAAGGCGTTTAACTTTGTGCACCCTTTGCTTGGAACCGATTACAAAAAGACCTGGTGCCTCATGTAGAAACAGTGGACACCTACTAAAATGTTATGTACACTTTGTTTTACGCACACGCCAGGATGTAAGAAAATCAGTGTGACCCTGCCACAAACTCAAGACCAGCGGTGAAAACGTGCAGGCCATCCCGCAAACTCTATGTCACAATGCCCACCTACAAAGTACTGAAACTCGCCGAACTCACTGAAACTGAAATGTGCCAAAATAACTACTTACTGAATTATGTTTATGAAGTGAGATTAATAAAATCAGATTGTTTCACTATTTTGATCTTTAATCTTGATCATGTTTGACATCAAAAAGGGGAAACAAAAGCATATATCTACTAACAGATGACATGCCTTAACCACTGTACCAAAAACAAAGTTGCAAGTAAACTGAAAATTATTCTCTTGTTATGTGACATGGAGATGTAACACATCAGGGACTGTACAGTTGCTGAGGGGCACAGAAATCCATGAAGCACAGGAAGCGAGGTGCACTCCCACCTCCTGTGAAAGCATGTAGCCTGTTGCACAATGTGGTAAACCAGCGTTGTGTGTCTGTGCCTCAGAAGCTACAGCTGGACAAATCAGACCCTGGCCCTGCAACTATCAATGGGATGTGGCACACAGAATGTGAAACAATGCAGTAATTCTCTTTGTTTTGTCAGATCTATTAATGTGTTACTTATACATGTGTCTTATAATATATGTAAGTATGGTCTGCTAGTTTGCTGGAAACTTTGTTACCTGTGATGCTGCCTGTCCAGGCAAAAGAGATTTTTGATCTCAATGAGTTTTTTTTTTACTGCTGGTTAAATGAAATAAATGAATAAAAAAGAAGTCCCATAAGTCAGACTGAACAAAACAACACACTAACTGCATGTAACAGATTCTCTTCATCTATGACAGTGCATCACCTTTCGACCCTAAACGAGTCCAATACCACAAAACTGTCTGTGTCTCCCTTTTCTTTCTCTCCGTTCTTTTTCTGTGCTCACATTTTTAACAGACACAGGAGAGTTTTAATTTGCAGCCCATTTCTCTCATAATGGCAGCAAGTGCGTGGGTGTTTGTGTGTGTGTGCTGTACTGTAAGTGAGAGAAGAAATAGATGAGTCAATGATGCCAGCATACTATTCTCAGGGACGCTCTGAAGTCCTCCATGTTTTTAATCACCAGCAAGTCTAACATCTAATTAATCATTAACATTTCTCCTGCTGATCCGTATCCCTCTGGAGACACCTTGCAGAACATCTCTTTCTCTCTATCTCTCTCCCACATTATTCTCATTCGAGTTTGTGTTTGAGTATGCAGATAATAGTGGATCTCTGTGTATTTCAGTTTAAGCTTGTACAGTATGTAGGTTCATAGTTAGGACAGCAATTACTGTAGCTGAAGTTGTTAGCGAGGGCACAGTGTTCATACAACTTCTGCTAGAAGTGTGAGAGAGTACACTGACCAGTGATAAATCAACAGTCAACATGCTACAAGATTTAAACTCCGTCTGGTAATAATGGTGATAATTCAAAATATTAAATTTGGCCTAAACTTTTTAATTAGCTTGTAGCTTGTAGCTTACAAAGCACCAAAGACGAGCAAACATCCAATAATAACACTGTAGTACCATTAGACAGAAGCTGTATTTTGCACATCACTCATATGCTGTGTATCTATGAGTGTTGCATCACAAATAAGCATGGTATGGTATGAGAAAACCTTTTAATTTGGGAAACAATTTAAACACTCTTAAAGCATAGAAAACAGTGGTAAAGAAATAAGACATCATTAATAATATGTTTTATTTTGTGAAAAATAAATAATACTAGTGAGGTGTGTAATATTTAATATGTACATTTTAATCTGATTAGTTTTTAAGAAAATATAAAACTAGCACTGTCCAAATCCATCCAAGTTGAAATTATTTCCGTTATTGTTAACAAAGTAGGCCTGCTGTGTTTAAAGGTCACATATTATCCTCCTTCTCAACAAGTTTAAATAAGTCTCAGAGATCCTCAAAACATCCATTCTGATCCTATATTTGATCATGCCTTTAAACCCCTCTATTTCAGCCCTGCTCAGAACAGACTGTTTCTATGTCTGTAGCTTTAAATGCAGGTGAGATATGTTTGACAGCACCATACAGGACGGGGATGTGGCTTGGGTTTTCTTGCACCTTAACCATTTGTTTATGGTGGAAACTAAGGCAGACTCAGAGGACAGGAAAAACACCTAGCTATGGGTGACACTCAGGGTTACTGCCCTTTGTGATGTCACAAAATGAACAATTTCCCCCAAAAATAAAAATAGCTAGCTCATAGTCCAGTTCACACATAAAAAAATTAACTAGTTCATAGTTGACAATATTAAATGTTGAACTAAGTTCACAGTCCAAAAAGTGAATGTATTGCAGTTCATTTATTTTTATTTTTTTAACTGCACCGAGCTTCTCTTATTTCTCTAGAGCCTCCGATGCTTATATCCCTTCTTCTACATCACATCATTAACTTGCTAGTTTTACCCAAATTAAGACCATAAACTATATACTATTACACTTTTTTTTGTTTTATAAATATCATAAAGATAGATCATATACAGGAAAGGGCAAAAAGGCATGTGCTCGACTGTAAATTAAAATGATCATGATTTATGACTCTGTTTTTGTTTTTTAAAGAAAGCTTAGCAGGAAGAGCTAAAGCGCTTTGCAAGATACTTAATTCACTTCTCCGGCACATATTCAGAATAAAATCATTTTGTGAAAACACAGGAAGTCTCATCACAGAAAAAAAACAAAAACAGATCAAGCTCTTACTTAATAATACCAAAGCCATGTCTGGTGCATGTTTGGTGCTACATATCGGATGTGGGCACACAATGCTCAGCACCTCTTGGTCACTCAGAATTTCAGTGCGAATAGTGAACTACACTCAACGTTCTTGTTAATGAGATGAGGCGTGAGTTCCTTCAATGAAGAACACTGCCTAACAACAAAAATGAGGTGGCTGTGACGATTTATTCTGCTCTGTTGTAATACTTTGATGTTGGGCAAAGAAACAGACCAAAATAAGTAAAACAAAAATGTAACTTGTAGCTTCTGTGTATTCAAAAAACATAGTTTATTAGTGGGGATTTAAGGGTGTACTTGCCAGAAAATGACATCAGAATTTGTAGTCTGTAATAATATTGAGAGATATGTGATTATAATACCTCTGAGTGTCATCTTTATTTCAAATGATACCAAAAGAACCACTTTAAGAGTCCATTAACTTTCTTTGTAAAGCAGTTTTTTTTAAAAATCTGATTGTTCACTTTATTCACAATGGTGCGCTCTAATTGGAGCAGAACTTTATCTGGACGTGTGTGTGTGAGAACGCTCAACTTTAAAACTGACCTTTGTGTCAGTCAAGAATGAACATATGATAAATGCTACAAACTATTCCCTTTCTGTGACTCAAACCCTTAAAATGGCTTTGGTTGAAAGGATGTTTCCTGCTGTCTTTATGTGTCGTGTGACTTTTTTCTTTGGTTGGGTCCAGTGGCCTAATGAACATCTTCTCTCAGCAGCAAGTACATCTTTTTATGTGTTAATGACAGGTTCATTCTTTTCTCCCTACCTTTCTCTTTCACAAACCACTTCCATAACACTCTCTTCATTTCCTCTCCCTCCATCCTTTCCATTGTCTCTGCCTCCTTCAGCCCTGGTCTCCACTCCACTCTGTCTCCCTTTTCTCCTCGCCTCTCTATCCTTTCCACTGCTTCCCCATCTCCTCTCAGCCTCCCTCCTTGTCTTCTCAGTGTGTACAGACAGGCGTGCACTTGAGCGCCAGCAGTGATTTATTCTGCTTAGGCAAATGAGTGTGGCTTACAGCATGCTGCTCCCTTTCTGCTTCATCAGTACACATTGCACATAACACTGGAGCAGGTTGCAGCCTGTAGGCACACACACACAAAACCCCTGAAATGGATCTAAGAGACCTGCTGGAGGGGTTCTTCTGCAGCACAATGGGCTGATGTGATTCATTCCTGTGTTTCGGATGTAGCAGAATGTGTAATTGAGCATGTATATTTCACAGCTTGTGTAATCATTGTGCTTACTACGGTGCCCTCAGTTGGCCTGTGGTTCATGAAATTGCCTTTTGAGGTCACTGACAACTTTTCTAGGCTGTGTTTGGTGGACAACAGGGCAAAGTGATATGGCTGAAAGAAACTTCATATATACACAAATGTTTTTCAGATAGTGATATCTGACAGGATATGGCAAGCAGATTTTAAATTAAGCAAATCTTTTATAAATCATATTTAAATGTTATGCAATAAACACTGTTCCAAGGTTTTAGTTGCATCAGATGTATAACTCTTCCAAAACAATGTAAGTAACTTTTGAACTACAACTTTAAAGTTCTTTCTGTTATTCTTCCACTTCATACATACAGTATGTTTCTTATCCTTTCATGACTATAACTTGTTTCACTTTTCTTCACTGCATGACACAATGTATAATACTAAATTATACAGCACATCTTTGTTGGGCTCTGAACATGTGTTCCTTGTCGTGCAGCAGTTGTAAAGTCTTTGGCATTATGCATTGCAAACAAAATAATCTAACTGATCAACTGATCTGGAAGTAACAACTCTTGAAATATTTTTTTACTTTGAACATTGATTCAAATGTATTTATTTATTTCAAAATGTTCTAATTAAGCACTAACTAAAACTGTTTCAGGAACATAGTTGGCCTGTATATATTTGTCTGTCTGATATTGTGTGTCTGTGTGGAAGGTAGGAGGTGCTGCCCCATGGATACCTGTGACCTGGTCGACGAGGATGCGGGAGGTGATAATGCGTCCGTACTGGGAGAAGAGCTGCTCCAGCTCCTTCTGAGTCATAGTCTTGGGAAGGCCGCTCACATACAGGTTAGCATCACGAATAGAGGCTGAGCTGGGTCGTGCATATGACACCTGTGAGAAAAAACAGAAACATGTTAGGATTTGTATAAATAAATGAGGACTCTGTACTTATTAGCACCATGAAGGGGTGGATCTATAGGATTGAAAAATACATGAATTTTATTAGTGTGCTTGTGCGTGTGTGTGCGTGTGTGTGTGTGTGTGTGTGTTTGATGGGCAGGGGAGTGGACCATTGGAACCACAGGGAGAAAACTGTGACTATATTTTCCCAGAGTACCCTGCCATGGGGATTATCGTTGTCAGAAAAAGACTTAGCTGCTTAGAACACTGGGGAGTTAACACTCGAGTTGTTTGCTGCTGGGAGCAGAGAAAACTTTGTTCCCTTGAGTAGAAACCACAGGTGTTTTACTTTGAAAGGAAAGCCCAGCAAGCCAGGGGAAGACAATTAATAATATAAGGACTCTAATGAAAAAGTCTCTTTATTTAATTAGTACACTGAGTTAAATGTTAGATTATAAAAACATTAGTTGGTATGCACTGTTTACAGATATCTTTTTGTTGGCTTTTAAATTAACACATTATTAATTAGAGTAAAATTTAATAACTTCAACCCTCTATAAAAATAAGGACATCATTTAAAATGTAAATAAAAACAAATGCAATGATTTATTTTTCATTGTATTGCAATCTTTGGTGGTCAAAAGTACAAAGGTAACACATCTGAAACTGAGAAATGATTGTACACCCATTTCAAATTTGATGCCAGCAACATATTTCAAAAGAGTTGGGACATGGGTCATGTTAACCAGTCTGACGCACCACCTCTTCTTTTAACAACAATTACGTTGGAAGCTGAGTAGGCCAATTTCTGTTATTTGTTTGAGCAATTTCAGTCCCTATAGATATCACAGTGACGGGAGACAGACAATATTAGAGGATATGACTGGGTGAAGACCTGCAAAACAATGTTGTAGGGTGTGACCTGAACCCTGGATAGCTATAAGGACTGCAGCCCCTGCACTTTGGGTGCTTACACACTAACTGCAGAGCCAAACTGGCGCCTCAATTTCCATAATCTTTCAGTCTTTAGCATAACCATATTTCTTCAGATTCTCTGAATCATTTAATGATATTATGTACTGTAAATGAAGAAATCCCAAGATTCTTTGCAATTTAAGCTTGAATTGAACCTCCCAGCACATTGTTTCCCAGAGTGGTGAATCCCACCCCAACTTCACTTCAGAAAGACTCAGCCTCTCTTGGATGCTCTTTTTATACCTAATTATGTTACTAACCTGTTCACCAGGTCGTATCTTTTAGAATTTCACAACTTTTCCAGTCTTTTGTTGTGACAGTGCCAACTTTTATAAATTATTAAAATTTTTACACTGTGTCCAAACTTTTTTGGAAACAGGGTTGTAATTCTTGCTCACCTTGAACGGTAGATTTTCACGTTATTCATTTTGGGCAGGTACAACTAAGTGAATAAAGATAACTATACAGAGCATATGTTTTACAACATTGTGCTTTCATAATTGTATGCATACAGTGTAAGAACAGCTGTACAGGCACAATCCATCATACTAACACCCAACACCCTCATGTGTAGACCCAGTCTCTTGAGCAAAAGTTCAGCAAATCCCATTACTACTGCTGCTGACAGGAGCAGCTTTCCCTCGCAGTACTTTCATTACCTCTGACATGTGGAGACATAAGCCATCAAATAGGGTTAAAGTCAGGCAAATATGGTGGGTATGCAGTCATATCCTTCAGCAACAGCATGGAAATCCTGCTGAACTTTAACGGTGGAAGAATAGGATTGGGAACAGCTGGCTTTCCCCATGTCTCGCTTTTCTTTCACACATCATTCTCTACAGCATCTCAGCTCAGCTCTTGTGTTTTCCTCTTCCTCTTTGCATCTTTCTGCTCTTCTGCTGCTTGGATCTGTTTTTCTCTGCTTCCTTCCTGCGTGCTGCATCACTAAACCTTTCTCTCTCTTCCAGTTTCTCCCTCTTTTGCACCTCTTTTCTCCTCTGTGCAGCTCTCTTTTCATTTCTTCTTCTTGTCAGCCAACTCCAGATGTCTAATCCATCAACACCTCCTCAAGCTGTGAGCAGTACTGTGGACAAGTGTGGTGTAAGGCATGTGTGGTTTCGTCTGTGTGTGTTTGTGTGTGTGTGTGTGTGTGTGTGTGTGTGTGTGTGTGTGTGTGTGTGTGTGTGTGCCCATGAATGTTAGGAAAACTGTGTGAGATTATTTGCATGCATATCGCAGTGAGATCCTCTCACCTTTGACATGCTGCTTCCCCTCATGCCTCGGTAGGAAAGCAACATCGCTGACTAAATCTGAGGTGTCATGGTGTAGGAAACGGCAGCATTAAAACCAACTCAAACACACTACAGAGAGAAACATCGCCTGAGAGTATGTGAATCTTTGGGCCAAGTGTTTTCGTCATGAGTGTTGTGGCACAGGGTGGGAAGGATGTGACATGATAGAGTGGCTAACTTCAATTTAAAATGACTGTGCTGCCTTTTAATTGACCTCGTTATCTCTAGGGTATTACCGTCTGTTGTGGAGAGAGAAAGCAAGAAGAGAGGGTAGTGGGAAAGAGGAAATGAAGTGTGAAAATGTGATAGCGCCAGACAGAGATGCAGAGTTGTCTTCTGTCATTACAAAGACCGCCTTTATCTCAGGAAGGACTTGAGGCAACCTCTTGTGTCAGGAGAGTGTGAGCGTGAAAATCTGTGAACTCAGGACGCTAGCTTCAATAAAGACCGCAAGACTGTCACACTACACAAATGACCTTCAAATGTTTATAGTCCTTACATTGAAAAGGCCTATTTTTTCAAAAAGGAGTCCATGATGGCCATTTTCTATTGAATAACACTTGTGTAATTGAGACAAGTGTTCTTGGACTCAACCAAACACTTGTAACTGATGCTCAGTGAAAGCTGCTTTGATTTACTATGAGCTACTCTGGTATAACAACCCGTGCATATAGAGAACATACAAACACCTACTTTAACTGAGCCTTTAATGAGATACACCTCAAACATCCAGTTATCAAACTTAAAAGAAATATGTAGACACACATTCAGTCATAGAACACATGAAGGAAATTAGAGTTGTACTGATACCACTTTGATACTAGAATGCCAGTTAATGCCCCGATCCAACGGCATAACCAGCTAGCCATCAGGTGGACTAATATGAGCCAACATCAAACAACAGTGTAGTGCAGAGACTCTAGTTTGAGTGAAAGCTAGCTTAATTTCAGCAATCACTTTTTTTAAACTGCTACAGAAGTGAACAAGAGCTTTTTTTAAATTTTTTATCCCACTTGCTTTGGAGTGATATTCAGAATTGGCCAATACTCAAGTCAATGCATAGTGAGGTAAAACATTGTATGAGAACATCTCCATAGACTACGCTCATCAAACACATCAGACACACACAACTCTCGCTCTTCTGTTTCTATGCCATGAAGGAGCTGGGAGGTGTTGCTGAACCAACCTATGTAGCATAGGCCAAAATTGTCAAGTGAATAGAGGGACTCTCTCGGGGATTGCCCATTCAAAAATACAGGCAAATCCAATGATATTAGATTGGATTAGATTACATTAGATCAGATGACAGAAAGCGAGAATCCCGGGATTACCACAGAGCATCAGATTACTGTTCAGCTTAACAGCCACCAAATAACAGCAAGCACAGAGCAGAGGGGACGATAGAGGATGATGTTAGGGGAAGATTTATTTGTTGATCGGAAACATATGAATAACCAACTGCTGGTTAGGTTTAATTCTCAGCCTTTAAAACACGTCTGGAGGTGGGACAGCACTGTGTTGGCACTGGATTATGTTTTCCCTTGATGACACCCACCAACAAGCCTGTACATTAGTCATGCTATTAAAATGCAAAAAAAACACAGCTCTCAATTATTTCAGAAACTATGCAATGATTGACATGCTCCTTCTTTCTAAATACATATACTTTCACCTGTACATTTTGACATTTAGAAGGTAATTAGCATATCATCCATAGTCAAATGCTTTTTAATGTGCCTCTTTGATTTAGATGGTCTTTGTAATTACTCATGCTTGTTAATCCTATCTTGCCCTTCAGCTCATTTGCTCACAGCATCGCTATCTAAAAGGGCTTTGAGGAAGTAGAAAGAGCCTTTTACTAGTCTGACAATCATTACTTAGTGAAATTATTGTGATGATATTCATCACCTTGTAATTCATTTGTATTTTTTTGGCTGCAGTGCTTTTTAAACAAATACTCTTTCATGATATTGAGATTGTTGTAGATTGTTATAACTCATGTTAAGCTATATATGAGGTCAGTTACCTTGATTGTTTTGGTCTGAAGTCTGAGTCCATTTAACGTGTTGATGGCTTTCTCCGCATCCTTTGGATCAATGTAGTTGACAAAGCCGTAGCCCAGACTCTGTCCTAGAATGGCAGAAAGAGAAAAAAAAAAACTTTTAAAATGTTAGCATGAGTATTTCATTATTCAGTTAAGCTATTGACAATTTGAAACAAATGTTAATAATTTATGGTTACTATCCATACTTTGATTTAAAAAAAAAAAAAAAAACCTCCGCACATCCACTGCACAAGACAGGTGCGTAGGAGAGCAATGTGTCCATCAAAAACTTAAAGATAAACTCCTGCACACTTTCTAATTTGCGAACAAACATTTATTGGCAACGTTTCTGTACTAGATCTTCATCAGGCAAAAAGTACTATCCATACTTAAAGATTAAAGGGGAGACAGAGACGTGCCTCAAAAAGAGATTCATAAAGACTTTTTCGGTCAAATGTACAATAAGGAAATATAAATCATACTGACAACTAATACTACCCCCTTGTACTTAGATATCTCTATAACATCCCATATAATTTATAACATATATAATATATTTAAAAACAAAGATTTCCAAAGATTTTGGATTACTCAGAAATGTGTTTAAAAAAATGATGTTTTTTTCGACCGGATATTGACCCTGGCACATCAGCCCATCCTTAAACTGAAAATAATTCCATAGACACCCTCTTGAATATCATCATCATGCATCTGTTCCTGGAAAATCCTTTACAACATCTCTTCACCACCAGTGACAAGATCACAATGATTCCTGCCCCGAGCGCCAGGAGCCTTGGTGTGACTTCTGTCAACAAAATGTCATGTGATTCCTGCTCTGTAGCCACAAGCTTGCAGTTGGCAGAGGGCCTATTTTAACTTCTCCATTGAATACATACCTAAAAACATCAGCAATTTTTTTTCCAGAAAAAAGTTAGATTTAATAAAAAGAAAAACACATTTCTTCCTAATATTGTCAAAATATGTCAAAATATGAATCACTTTGCAGAGAATATGTGTAGTTTCTGTTTTATTGCCGCCTTAAATGTTTGTTGCTTTTTATATTTGAGATCTGAGAGCATGAGGGATTAATTCAATCGAGCATTTTCCTTGCTGGAGATAGAGGTGTCAACCACTGAATGCTTTCTATGTCATGAATAAGCTCAAAATCTCCCTGAAATGCCCCGACAAATGCAGTACAACAGTTAGTACAAACAACATATTTGTTACTGTCTTTGCAGCTGTGTAAAAAAGAGAGTAAAAAAAAAATACCACCCCCAATTCCCTCGAAGCTCAAAGTGTCTTAGATAGCGCATTCCCTTTGAGTGTGAAGCAGGCCTGACATCTCCAAGTGTTTCCCCGACAGATCAAGCCTTTCAACAGGCGTAGGACTTTAAGAGGACGCCTCCAGCCATCACGGCCTTCACTCGGCTAGTTTTCAACAAACAGCCTGGATCCACTAACGCCACACACAAGCTCAAAGAATCGTAGTCAGTTTAAGGGGAGCGGCGTGCACATATTCACGCTAATGGGAACAGACAGTGGTTAGTCGGAGACAAACTGAATCACAAAATATGGAGCATGGCTGTTTCACAAAATAAATACATTTGGGCTATGGATATCACAGCACAGAGCAGCTCAGCAGCGAGCGGTGGAAGGGCCAGGAGGGACTTGTAGTCCGAACATCAAACAGCTGATGATTTTCTCTTCTTCCCTCCTCTTCTCCCTCTTTTCCTCTGGATTAACTGTGGATTATCAGACACTCTCTATTGTTAATTAAAAAACTGCCATTCTCCAGATACCTCTGCTATTTATAACTAGCCCCCCTCTCTCTTTCCTCTCATCCTCCTCTCACTCTCAACTGACATCAGGTGTTAGGTTTATCAGTTTAAATGTAACTCACAAAGGTAGTGCTCTGTGGCTTCTCTCTTTTTTTAATAGTTAACACAAAAAGAAGTGCAGGGATAATAAAGAGACAAAGAGTTTTATTGAATACAAAATGTATGCAGCGTAAGCGTGCCAACAAACTGTGATGGGCCATTAATAATAATCTAAATAAGTAACGTACTGCTCCCAGTATTACCTTATTTCCCACCAAATAAACAAGTTACATAGCATTATTTGAAACAAGGTATGAATATTCCACAGAGTTTAAAACAAACACTCCTCTCTCCTGTTCTGCTTCTTCCTCAACCTAATCTCCCACTTTCCGATCACCTTCCTCACCCCTCTCCCTTATCTTCAACAAGAGTATGTGAGGTTCGACAAGCACGGCTACCAGAGGGTTAGCTGAAAATGAAGTGTGCTTGCAAAGAGCACTCATGCAGGGCAGTCGAGATGTGCTGGCTGGTGCTTAATGGTACAGAGACTCTCAACACTCGTGGAGTAGACCAGACAGCCAAATGGGGCCAAACCAGCGGCATGGATGCTGCAGATGTATGACTGGGCCTTTGTGGAGGTCGAGTGTCTTTTTTAAGTGTGTGTGTGTGTGTGTGTGTGAACAAGTTAGTCAGAAGTGTAGGTATGGACACATATGAGTCATTGATTGAGTACAGTCCTGCAACAGAAGAAATCAGGTATTGTCTTTTGATTACAGGTCTGGTTACTGGGTAAATAGCTGTTGCTTTATGTAGACGTAGCATTTATTAATATTTGTCTCGATGTATTTTCAGACTGTGTGTATGTTATATTTATTGAAAGCTTAGGCTGGTATTGGCAAAAAGCCAGCTCAGACCCGCTTCATCACACCCTCTTTGGCAAGACTGAGGGCCTCCAGGGCTGGAGGGAAGAGGGGGAGAGTGAGACTCACTGACTGGCATCCATCCTGAGTTGAGCAAGGAGATAGAGGAGAGACAAGGGGAGATGGAGCTACGCATCTGCCTGCTGTTTTAGAAAAATATCCAGGAGGGGAATTAACCAACCATTTCCAGCCTGCTATAGTGGCGCTAACAGCAGGGAGCCACCGGCAGACTGCCTGGCTGTTAGGAGACGTGATGCCAATGCAGCACACAGATGTACACACATGTGCATAAACATGCAAGTAAACATGTAATGACTCTGTCACATTGGCACACACAAATAGACACAAGCAGTAAAATATGTCCTCCCAGCAGGACAGCAAGGAGGGGAGCGGCTGGCAGCTAACCAGTGATTGTACCATTTATGTGTGTTTGTCTGTGTGTGTGTGTTTGGAGGTATTGTAGTTCCTAAAGTGATTAGTTAATGTAAAGAAGAGATCTGTTTTCATATGAATGCACATCCAATACAAACCAGTAGGCTAAGACACTACAATGAACAGCTCTCTGTCTGTAACCTACAGTATATATGCAGAGACAGCAGGCAGTGTGGTTGGCTTCAGCTTGTCACAACACCTGCCCTGTCCACCTCAATACTCCCCAGCAGGATCAGCCCTGTATGCTGCCTGCAAATGGATCACACCATCATGGTGCCTTGCTCTGTTCTTGCTAAGCACACCGCGTTTAAGTACAGTTTAAAACGGCTCAGTGGCATTTAACCTAGCATGCTGTCTTATTGGAATGCAAGGAGAAGGCTAGCTCAGCCGTCATCTGCTTTATATGACAACAACACTACACAAGATATAATAACATAAACTAGAGACATATGACATGAATATGATATTGTTTCGGCGCTTTTTAAATTCAAATATTTGTAGAGAAGTGAAGACTAATATAGAGACTAATATAGTTAAATATAATTTAACAGCATTAAACAATATAACAAATACTGCCCCTCTTTATGTTTTGTCAGAGAAATCAATCCTTTCTATTTCTAAAAACACAGTGAAGTTATAGACAGATTGTGAAACGTAATAATCACAGAATGACTTGATAAGAACTGCATCTGAGGCAATATAGAGAAGCTATTAAAAATGCATAATAAATAGCCCCTAATGGGGTTGTAGTAGCTCACACAAAAAAATGTCACTGTGCTGATCAGTTAGTTTAATGGATATATTATATTATATGTTTTAATTGTCAATTAAATCCAGAACCCAAATGATGCACTGCTCCTCATAATGGCATTTTAATGAGATAAGATATTCATTTGACTTGATTTCTTAGCTGCTTACCATGCCAGTTGTTCAAATTGAAACAGTTGTTACCATGAAAATGCTTATGAGCATGTAAGGGGGCTTCTTAATAAAATTATGTAGATTCAATTATTGCATATGTCTTTAAAAAGACTATATATAACCATGTGGAGATTCTTTTTTTTAACCTCTGTAGCACTGCAGTTACTTATCATCCAGTGCCATGTCTGCTTTAAATAACAAACTAACTATATTAGATGAAACAGTGGAGTGAGAGTAGGTGGGGATCATTTAGTCACCCCTACTCTTTGTTGTATAATCTGACATAAATTGTATAGGGAGGTGGGCATGATATTCAGAAGTGAAAACACAGCTATTTCTAGTAAGGAGGCTGTTTGGTGTGTTAGCGAGGTGATGACTAAGCCATTATTTGTTTCCTGAGGAGCAGCAGGTTGCCCAATGTGTGAGATGAGAAAATTAGTGTTCTTCATGAAAGTGTACTGCCTGCTGTCCCCGCTATGTCATTTCATTTTTTCCTTTCACCCTTCCATACACACACATACAAGTGAAAACAATCAAACAACTTGTCGAAGCAAAATTACATTTAAGTTAAACAGAAGCAAGTTGTGTGACTTGTATTCACTTCAATGCATTTCAACACTCAACTGACAGGCATATAAATCAAATTAAACAGATTCCTGGATGAGATTGTGGGGCACAAAGTTGGATTATAATAATATACAATGGGGCACATACACAGTGAGAGACCCCTGGTGCAAATTTCCTGCCATTATTTTCTTCCCTTTGTTGTATCATGCGACTAAGAACCCTGTACTGCAGACTTGAAAGCAGCTTCATCTACTGCTATCATCAGGCAACATCACACAGCAAACTATAGACTCTTTGATGCAGAGTGGTAGCTGCTGAATGAAACACACAGCTGACAAAAACCTGTTTTTACTCAATGCAATCTATTGCTCTTTATACTATACTCTGAAAGCGCCAAGTCATCAAATCGAGCAAGTTGAACTGCTGAGA